GGATAGGGATCAGGATCGGGATCGGGATCGGGATCGGGATCGGGATCGGGATCGGGATCGGGATCGGGATCGGGATCGAGATTGGGGATGGGGATTGGGGATTGGGCATTGAGCATTGGGCATTGGGCATTGTGGATTGGGGATTGGGTATTTAGGAAATTGCGGTGGGAGATAGGCTCCGGTATCCTCGTTTATACATTTTTTTTATTTCTAACATGTCACAGGCGCGTCTGAACTACTCAGGTATTTGGTATGTTTTAGAATGCCTCGAGTATCAAGCAAAAATAAAACTACCTTGTAAAGATGGTGTAAAAACGTTTTGGCCATATTGCAATAAACAGTTGGGACCAATTCTAGTGGGAGGAGGGGGGGTAGATGCTGAGAAAGATGAATTCCCTCATATGGTAAATATGTTTTTTTTATTCTTTTTATGGCATAAGCCGGTAAACGAACAGACGGATCACCTGATGGTAAGCAATCGGCGCCCCCCATGGGCACCTGGAACACCAGAGGCGTTACAAGTGCGTTACCGGCCTTTTGGGGATTAGGAGTTTAAGGATCGTTGGGGATTCAGGGATTGGGGAGATTGGGGAAGGGGAGGGAGGGATAATTGGGCCTCCGGTAACCTCACTCACACGACGAAACACAACGCAAGCGTTGCTTCACGTCGGTTTTCTGTGAGCCGGCCCATTCGTGCCGAAGCATGGCTCTCCCACACTTTAAATGTCTGACCAATATAATTAATAATTTTTGGACCTTTTCTGAAAGTGCAGGGCTAACGAAAAAAAATGGTACGTATCGTTAGATCTAGCCATTTAGAGCGATAGTTAATATGGCATAAAAGTTGTATGATCCAGGATGAAGAAGATACACCAATTCGAAGAAACATTTTCATACATTTATTGCTTTCTTTTTTTTATTTTTTATATTTTTATAATTACAATAAATGCTGTAGCTGCAGTAGGCCAACGTTACTTCGGTAACCCGAAGTAACGTTGGCCTACTGCAGCTACTATTAGGGTTTAATTGAAACTTCGTATTAGTGCTTGAACTGCTGGTTCATAATATATTTGTGTTGATCTGATCTCAATACATACAAAAAAATTATCGTCTTAAGCAAGTCGTTGTAGCAAAACCATAGCTTGCTTTTAATCGCGGCAACGCCATCTAGTTACAAAAATTGAACTAAATAAATCAATATCAATTTCATGGTTTTGTTACTTTGGTGTTGTGTTTTGATCATCGACACTAGGAAACGCAAAATTATTCTTTATTGCTAGAATAAAGAATCTGAGCATTATACTGAATATAAGCAGTACCATTTTTTTCGTTACACAAATGTTCCAATATAATGTATGTAGCCGAAATGATCTCCTTTAGAACTGGGATAGGTAATGGTCTGAAATAAAAAACAGGCTAAATAATACGGAAGCTAGTTTTTGTTATAAGTTAACGAGCAGACGGATCACCTGATGGTAAGCAATCAGCGCCGCCCATGGAGACTCGCAAGTCCATGAAGACGCGCTCGCAATACCAGAGGAGTTGTATATTCGTTGCTGGTCTTGTCAATTTTGATTACATTTAGCCTCGAATAGCCACGTATAGCTCCGGTTAGTAACATTTTAGCCATAAAATTGTATGACAAGGGCATGGACCAAGAGTCCGTGGAGAATTAATCGGTAAAATCTCTCGGAGTGTCACGTAGGTACTTTGAAACGTCGTGTAGCAAATCTGAACTTCGCGTAGACACTTGTAACATCGCGTAGCAAATGTTACCTTGCGTTGCTACGTTCAACTTTGCTTAGCGCTACGCACACACTTCGAACGTATTATAGTCTCGAGTAGCAAATCGTAGCTTCGCGTAGAAAATCGTAGCCTCGCGTAGCAAATCGTAGCTTAGCGTAGAAAATTGTAGCCTCGCGTAGCCTTGCGTAACCTCGCGTAGCTTCCTGTAGCATCTCAAAGAATTACGTAGCTTCATGTGGCACCGCATAATACAGCATAAAATAATAGTTTGAAGTTATAGAATAGAATAGAATATAACTTTATTGTACACCATTAATAATACAGTACATACAGAAACGGAAATGACAAAAATAGAGGTAAATAAAAAAAATAATGGGCACAAAGGCGGTCTTACCACGTATAGTAATTTCTACCAGACAACCTTTGGGAGGATATAATAAAGAGAAATATTTAGACGGGTTGTGTACTAACTACATATATACATACATACATACATGATTACATATCTACTTACACTTAAATATACCATAATTATGGACCACTTAAAAGGAAACAGTTTGATGATGACATTATAGAGAAGAGAGGTAGTGCTTCTTAACTTGCTCCTTAAACGCAGCCAACGACTGAGCTTGTCTTATCGACACTGGCAATGCATTCCACAACCTAACAGCTTGCACAGTGAATGACTTGCTGTAGAATTTTGAGGAATGCTGGGCCATCTCCAATCTCAGATTCGCTGACGACCTCAGTGATCTCGAATGTGCGTCATTTAGGAACTTGAAACGTTCTTTGAGGTAAGAGGGGGCAAACGGATTGAACAGTATATGAATGAATGATGAACGGTACTGTAAAGTAGGGACAAGATATGAGTATTCCAGCGAAGGCGGATTGGCAGCCACTTGAGTATATTGCGATATTCGGTAACGTGGTCATACTTGCGCAAACCAAATATGAACCTAATGCTGAAATTTTGGAGTCTCTCAAGCTTATCTAACTGCTCCTCGGTAAGATCTAGATAACTGGCATCGGCGTAGTCAAGGAGAGGGAGCAGAAGTGATCGAGCGAGCGCAACTTTGGTTGCAGTTGGCAGAAAGTTCCGGAGCCTGCGTAAAGATCCTGCTGACGCAAATATTTTGCGGCTGACTTCTCGCAGCTGTGGCCCCCAGGAAAAGTCTTTGTCTATCAGGATCCCCAGATCCTTCACAGTGTCACTGTAAGGGATTCTCGTACCGTCAAAGACAATCGGTGAAATATGTGACCAGACTATCTTTGAGCGCAAGCGCGCTAGAAGTTATGTATCGAATGTAATTTGATCATTTGTTGCAGACATTGCTGATGTATGGTAAAAAGTTGATAAGATCGTTCTTTGGATGTGGAGGCTCTCTAATAAGTGAGAAGTACGTTCTGACAGCTGGACATTGCAGTGCCACCTCTAGAGGGTGAGTACTTATAATTTTTTTATGGTATTGGGTGGCCAACATGTAGACGAATCACCTGATGGTAAACATTAAGCACTCGGTGCCATCGGAACACTAGAGGAATATATTTTTAGGGTTCTTTTATATTTGATGGGCCGAAGTTTAACCACTATCTCGCCTGGTGTAAGCCATGATGCGGTCTACGATGTCAAAGTCAAAGTCAAAATCATTTATTTCAATTAGACCAGAAAGGCACTTTTGAACGTCAATAATAAAAATTAAAGTGAAGCTATTTGCTCATTCCAAGGTGTAGATTCCTATGCAGAAGAACGAGCAAGAAACTCCATAGGTTACTCTTTTTCAATCAGGTTCACAATACAATTCTCTAGTTACATAGTTTTGTTGTTTGGATTGTGCAAGAACAATGTAACACTAAAATCTAGTCAAAGTGATCGAAAAAGAAAATAACCTTGAGGACAATAAATAATACAGTCTTGAGCTGACCAGTCGCAGTTGACGGCGCCCGTTCACGAACATGACACGTACACCAGCACCGCCCAACTCAACCATATTGTAGGGAATCGAGCGATCCACTGCACGCGCCACCGGCAATGAGATCTTTGAGTGAGCATGACAACTCCAAGATAGAACCGTCCCATAAGCAACCCTTCAGAAAATACAGACTCTGGCAAAGAATTCCACTCCTTAGCCCTAATGCCCCAATTGTTGCAAGCGTTCATAGGCCACGGTAACTGCTTACCATCAGGTGAGCCGTGTGCTTTTTTGCCACTGTTTTGGTATAAATCGTCCAGTTAGTATTAGTGTGCCCAGTGTCACGTGACTTTACATTGCTCTCACATAAATGTATAATATTGGAACATGTATGTATCAGAGATATTGTAAAACATATTTTTTTTAATCGAGTAACGAATAAAGGTTTTTGCTCGATTCGATCTTCTCCATTCGAATCTACATTTTGGAATGAGCTAGCTTCACTGGCAGATAGACTGACAGACTATTATATATTTTATATTTGTTGACGTTTTAAAAGTACCAAATTATGTTTTAATTGAAATAAACGCTTTTGAGTTTGAGTTTGTCTGTTTGTGTACAATTCCTTAGTCGGGTATATGATTCCACGAGAAGAATAGACAGTCGCCACGTAGCAGGTTGCAAAATGCTGCTCATGAATATGAGCCCCTAGAATGGCTTGAAACTAGTCGAATTCCGCATCAAATAATTACGTGAGTAAGCCGAAAACATAATAATTTAAGAATAGGGGTGTTGATGAATGCATTGTATTCTATTACCACAAAGACTAGTACAATAGAATTATCTGTCTAGGACTTATGATTCATACGTTTCCTTCTCCATGTGATTTCAGGGTTCCTGTTTCGTTCGCTATATTTGGACTTCTCCACTTTGAGGAGATGCACAGATCGCCCAAAGAGAATGTTCGAGGGATACAGAAGATTATCAAGCATCCAGAATTTAAGCCTCCCTCCACCTACCATGACATAGCCCTGCTAGAACTAGATAAAGAGTAATTACATTTCATAATATAACATAACAAAACATCGTGCATACGGGCAAAGTATTACTGGAATTTAAAAATTAAATGTCAGTGGTAGCACGGGGTCTGGAAATGCGCCCGGTATATAGCAATAGGCTCACCTCCTATTACATAGGACTCATAACATAAATAGTGAAAAGTGGGTGTTACATTGTACAGAGGCATTAAGTGCTGAAATGTGCACCTCTGCCTGCTTCGGGGACAAAAAGGCGTGATGTTATGTTATGTTAATATAGTCGGACTACCAATGTAATTTTTTTTAATTATATGCATGTACTTTCTAAGATTATCTAAACACCACTGATATGCGATAAAGGAACACATCGTGAAAAAACCTGGACAGTAATTTTAATTATGTTGGTAATCGCCAATCCGCCTTGAGCAAGCGTGGTAATTAATATTGCGTTCTCCATGTGAGAAAAAGTAATAGGGTAGATGCCTAATTTTTATATTAATGTCCGTCTGGTAGATTATTTAAAACCATTAGACACGTATTTTTTATTTTCTTACAGAAACGAATGGTTTCGACGATAAATTGATATGAAATGTCGCGTGACGTCACTTCTATGTACATTTTATACGTAAAAATGACGTTTTAGCCCCCACTCCTAAACTTTAATTCGTTTTATCTAAGTACAGTTTTATTATACAACAGTGGAAACTTATAGGCTGATGATGATAATAATGAATTAGGCAAAATAAAGTTTATATTTATTTTTCAGGGTTGTATTCAGTCCGAGTATAAGGCCTGCTTGCCTGCAAGTAGAGGATGACTTCGAGCACAGAGCGTATGCGTCGGGCTGGGGGCTGTTGGGATATCGACAACAGAACGCAGATATATTACAAAATGTAAGTTTTTTTTAAAGCCTTATTCGACAAATATACCATCTCTCAACCCTTTGAAAATCATCCCCTAAATTAGTTCATACAAAAGTAGTCTCTATACATAACAATTAAAACTAACTAGTAAACAAAATTAATTAATAATAAAATATACCTCTATACAACTTAAGAATAAAATTATTTAAAAGAATAACAAAAAAAAACTATTTACATAAAGCATCAAAAAATTCGTCCGCATCGACGTCAGTGGATAAAAAAAATAAAAAAAAACCTCAAGCGGCGCAAGTATAACAACCTTGCTGGTAGTTATATCTTTGAGCCGATTGGGGTTGAGACGCTAGGTCCGTGGGGTCCAAGTGCCTATAAATTATTCAAAAACATTTCCAAACACCTGGTCGACACATCTCGTGACCAGAGGGCTGGTCTTTTTCTCGGTCAGAGGTTAAGTATTGCCATACAACGTGGCAATGCTGCCAGCTTTCTGGGTAATTTCCCCACTGACGTCGATGCGGACGAATTTTTTGATGCTCTATACATTGGAAATAAGGTCTATAACGTATCGGTTAACGGCTGGGGATATATGGGGAATGTTACTTGGCGTGATGTAGTACATAAACCAACCTCTTACTAGTTTAGGGAACAGATAGTACAGTTCCCTAAGATCGGAAAAGGAGTATCCTCCGACCAGGCGAGGTGTTCGTGCCTGGCGGGCTTTCTGCCCAACAGTTGTTCGTTGGGATTTTCTATCGGTGTTAATTCGCATGTAAACTTCACATGTGCGATGTATGGAGGGATTTTGTGTCGTCATCCGTTGAATTTATTTCATCGAATGACTGCTCCCGCCTGGGTGAGGCGGGAGGGAGTGTCAGACTCTTACTGACTAAAACCACCCCGTTCCTTCTCCTGCGCTTCGAACCGGAACTCCGGCAACCCGTTAGGTTCTCCGCGACATATGTATAACAATAGGTGTTTTATCTTAAATAGTGTCTCATACATTCTACCGAATCGGTGCGCGGTGTACAAATATTACACTTATATTCTACTTTTATATTAATGCACTATTCTACAACAATGTTTTTGCAATCTTTGTCATCGAGAGATTCTTTAGTTGAGTAGTAACACTTATTTAATAGAGACTTTAATAGTTTTGTTCGAGTGATGTTAAGTTGAGATTGTTTAGGTCATTTGGAAGCCTATTATAAATTTTGATAGCCATACAGTATGGGTTTTGACTGTATAGTGTAGTCCGTTGACTCGGTGCAGATGATTTGTTAGGGAATCTACATATACAAGGTGTAGTTTTGAAGCCGTGTCATTTCTCGGGGGCATGTCACAGAAGTCATAAAGGTTCAATGTAAGAGAAATTTTCGGGCCAATATGTAGTTAAAAGTACGGCTATAATAAATCATTTAAGTTCGACAGTATTTCAGAATAAGCGGCAGCAATGTTTCTTATTGGAGTTTTATGGAATTAGGAATAATATCAATTACGTGTTTGAGTTTGTGTGTGTTGAGCCGCGTTATAAAGCTAGTTACGGATTTCTGTAATTTACAAAAAATGAAAAATATTTATCTACAATTTTTTTTATTGATTCGGACTCAGAATCGATTGCCTAGTTACCTCCTAGAAAATGACGCGGCTTTAAAACAACACCTTTTATAAGTACCGCTGCATGCGCTGGTGCAGCCGCTTCCGCGGCAGATCACACAGCTTAAATATTCAAATTTAGTGGATAACTAGTGTTTTGACCCATTTGTGGTCAAACTTGGGCCATGGGGTCCCAGTGTACACTCTGTCTTTAAAGATATCGCCTGTAGGCTAATCGACTCTACACGTGACCAGAGGGCTGGCTATTTCTTCGGACAGAAAATAAGCATTGCCATTCAACGTGGCAATGCTGCCAGTCTACTGGGAACGTTCCCCTGTGATAGTGATGCGGACGAATACTTTGACGCCTAAATTATAGGGTATAATTTTTGTTGTTTCCTTTTTTTACTTTCGTTTTATTTATTAGTTTAGTTGTAGTTAATTTTAAGTTATAAATATTTATGTACTTATATATATAACGAAGACAATTCACCCATTGGGGGTACTTCGTCATCGGATTCCAAGTTAGACATGGTGTAGGTAAGAAATAATAGTCTCAACACTGATATAATCGTCTTCGGACACGCGGTAAGTTCGGTACGGGCTGGCAGAACAACCGCTCACCCTATCCCCTATACTTATTAGTTATTATACTCTTTGGCTCACCCTCGTGTCCAACTCAAAAGTGACGCCTTTCAAATGCCAACATGCCACGCCCCGTACCGACCATCACCCAAGCACACTGACGTTTCCGACAAATGATAACAGATGGCGTTGTTCTAAAATAACGATACTCGATAGCTGTGCATCTTTGTTGATTCTGCGACATATATTTATATTTAATTATCGGGAAGCTACTATTTATATTAGTTAGACTATTTTTCTTAATAAAGACACTATCTTATCTTAGTTTATAGGTCGCGGAGAACCTAACGGGTAACCGGGGCTCCGGCTCGACGTGCATGAGTAGGAACGGGGTGGTTTTCAGTCAGTAGGAGTCTGACACTCCTGTCTCTCACCCAAGCGGGAGAAGACATTCGATGATTTTCCCCTTTAAAAAAAATCTTAGTTTATAGAGATTATAATAGAAAACTAGATTTTTCTATTCCATGGTACCAGCAATGTAATGATAATATTTTATCAGATACCTCTATGGAGAGTCGCAGATGAGGTCTGCAGTGCCAAGTATATGACACATAGGACCTTTATCAATGGGCTGGACAATGATACACAAATCTGCTACGGAGACGATGGGATAGTCAGAGATACATGCCCTGTAAGTATAAGGTAGTTCTTTTATGGAATAGGAGGCAAACGAGCGGACGGATTACCTGATGGTAAGCAATCAGCGCCGCCTGCCGCCTATGGACACCCGCAACACCACAGGCGAAGCAGGTACGTTGCCGGCCTATTAAAAAGGATTATACGCTTCTTGAAGGTTTGAAGGTCGTATCGGTTCGGAAATACCGCCGACGACAGATCATTCTACAGTTTTGTTGTGCGAGGCATACTACAATTGGGGCCTGCCTGCCATCTATATGATGGGGATGGATATGTCGTGAGGGTCGATGGCGAGAAGATAGAAATTTCCTAGATCTTATTTTAATGTCAGTCCAAGAACGTTGAATAAATGGCGGACAATCGGACATAATGTGACTTAGAAATGATTGAAGCGCCTAAAGATCAGTGTGTAATGTGTTACCACTTTACCAGACCTAAGACAATGACAGATGTCCTTCGTGTCAATGTGTGTGTATTCTGCGTGTAAGTGTATAGTAGCCAGGTGCCACAGTCGTTGTTTCAAGAGACTGTGTCCACCTTTGTTTCACCGTCCTTTTGTCAGATATGTTAAAATATTAGACAAATATTTTTTTTTACTTTACTTACTGAAGCAATATATCGATATTGCCATATCATATCACCTTTAGAATAATAGCAATAGATGTATAAAAATGATGAACCTGTGAACTGGTATAACTTCTTCATCTTGGATCCTACAACTTTTTCGCCATATTAACTTTTGCTCCCAATGACTCGTTCTAACGATACATACCATTTTTAGGGCCCAAAATGTACGGAGCCGTAATGATCTAATTTAGAAAGTCTCTTTGGAGTTTCTTGCTCGTTCTTCTCTATTCGTATCTACATTTTGGAATGAGCACCTAGCTTCACCTAGCTTCACTGACGGACTGACTAACAGATGATTATTTATTTTGTATTTGTTGACGTTTCAAAAGTACCAAATTATGGTTTAATTGAAATAAATGCTTTGACTTTGACTTTTAAAGTTGATTCGGTACAGAGACAGACATAGCTTTCATGAGACATACAGGATTAATACAGAAATATACTTTATTTATTATAATTATCTTTGATCTATGCAGCCAGCACTTTTGGTCGACTCAGTAGCCAATGAATTGTATTTTGGAACTGCATACAAATTTTCTTTTTCATGGAATAAGTCGGTTAACGAGCTGCCGGATCACTTAATGGTAAGCAATCGTCACCGCTGATAAACACCAGAAGTGTTACAAGTTCGTTACCGGCCATTTGGGGATTCGGGGATTGGGGAGAGTAATTGGGCCTCCGGCAACACGACGAAGCACAAACGGAAGCGTTGTTTCACGACGGTTTTCTGCTCAGCCGTGGAGGTAGTAGAGGAACTCCGGTTGAGCCGGCCCATTCGTATCGAAGCATGGCTCTCCCACACTTGGCTCCTATACAATCTGTATAATAGAAACTTTTTTTCAGGGTGACAGCGGTGGACCTCTGCATATCATAAACGAGAATGTATTCTGTACCCATCTGATACTGGGAGTGACCTCCTTTGGTAAATATCGCTGTGGAGAGGTCGGGACTCCCGGAGTGTATACCAAAGTACCGCATTATGTGCCGTGGATTGAGAGCGTTGTGTGGCCTTAGACATAGTTCTTTACTATTCAAATAAATGTTAATATCTACAGATATTATGCAGAACATAAGATTTTTATTTTATTCGTATACGTTCCGGTATTTCTATTTTTGTCACAAATCAACGGCAGTAATGTCAGTCCCACATGACAAGCGAATAGGAGAAAGAAGAAACAAGCATTTATCAATCAATATGGCCTGGCCGTTTTCATCGACTATTTTTTAACTAAGAGTTATTTAGCATAAATAAGCAAACCCCTTACTTATCTTTACCGTTAGATGTCTTTTACATATTGGCGAGTACCAAAACGTCGCTAAGTGTCACCTACCTAAACTTAGGGATACCTTAAAATTTAAGAAAGGTTGGTGAAAATGGCTTCTTACTTTTTAATTCTTACTTTCTTTCAGAGGGTTTTGTCCCAAAGCTCCCATAGCGATGTTCTGAGCCCAATCGTTGAGACCATCCCAGGTCCGTAAGAGAGGAGGTTTCTTTGGACCTTGATTTTGAGGCTGAACGTAGATCACTTGTGGTTGTTGTGGGTACATCACTTGCGGTTGCTGTGGGTAGTATGGTTGTGGAGGTAGATTGTACTGCTGTGGAGGTGGGTTGTAGTGCTGTGGGGGTGGATTGTACTGCTGTGGAGGTGCGTTGTACTGCTGTGGGGGTGGATTATACTGCTGTGAGGGTGAGTTGTACTGAAGAGATGATGAGTTATAGCCGTACCCTGCAAAAAATCACAACGAGTTTTAATGCCAGTAATTTAAATTAACACAAAAGGATTATTCGATTCGGACCAGCAGTTCTGGAGATTCGCACGTTCAAACAAACAAACAACCAATAGTCTCTCTTAGTATAATATAGTAACAACTGGAGAGCCTCGTAGAGTTCAAGAGACTGACAAAAGTTTTAGATACACTCAAATCTAAATATTATTTAGCTTAGCCGTCTAGTGCTTCCGTAAATATGAAAAAGATACAATTTTACATCTGTCTAGCGAATATTAAAAAACAAATGCTTTGGGCATTATCTACAGTCGATACCGAAACCAAAAATATGGTTTTTAGGATTTTTATCTGTTTGTCTGTATGTATGTCCGGGATGATCTCCAAAAGAACTGCATAGATTTACTTCAAATTTTGCATGAATATTACTAACAAGTCGGGTCAACATATAGGCTACATATTATCATGCTATCAACTACGGGGGAGGAGCTGTGAATCGCTTTTCCACGTGAACGAAGTCGCGGGCTCAGCTAGTCAAAATATAAAATATTTATTACCATTATGAGACCCTGGGATCGGGACTGAATTTGTATTCAGCGGCGCCTGAGAGTTCGTTGGATTCAATTGTGGTAATGGACTCGCAGAAACAAATCCATCTCCTGGAAACCCTGTAGGAGAAACATCGATTTTAATGTTAGGAATATGAAATCCATTTAGTGCTTTAACTTAGAACCACTTTTTCTGAGCCGGTGATCAGCCCAAGCAGGCAGGGTAGAATACAATCTGTTGCCACCCAAATTCGTCCCGTGGGTGCCGTAGGATGCCGTAGGAACATATTTCGCAGAGACCGGGCAGCAGCGTCGTGGTGGCTCGTGAAAATGTTGTGGTGGCCCAGAGGTTCAAGACACCCTTCGACGCTTCTCATGCATGAAGGTGCAAATCCGAAACCTACCAAAGGCAAGTACCAATGTGACTTTTTTCGAGTTATATGTACAGTAAGAACCAAAAGTGCATAACCAATGTCAAAACACTTTTACATAGCAATATTAGTGGCGCTTATGACCTTTTATATTTTTATCTTAGCAAAGTGACAAGTTCGCTTTAAACTGTCAAACACCAAGCGGTCACTGGTGACCGCAACCTATTGTTCTATAATTGTGTCTATAATGACGGTACTCGACGAGTTAAATCCACCATATTTTAACTAATTTACTCTTCGATCAACAATAACAACTAGATATCGGGTTGGCGCAAGAAAATCGTCTCGACAAATAAGAGCTCACTTGAGAAGTGAGCTCTTATTTTGTTTAGTATGCTCCAAACACGGCCAACGTACTCACGTCTCACGATGCCGCAGTGAGTAATTGCAAGTTGCAAAAATAATGACCGAAAAAGCAGTGTAACGCCCGGAGTGTCTTACTTTTGATAAGTACATAAAGTATAAGTTATATTTTAAGCTTTTTAACTAGTAAATAATATCAAATTAGATAAAATTACCAATTATCAACCAACGCCACCAATGTTTGTGCGTGTGTTGGCGAT